ACAGAAAAGCCTGACCTGATTGTTCGCGTGTAGGGGCGCTCAAATGTTAGTATTCTTGACTAGTGGCGTGATCTGTTTGTGTGTGGGAGACACCTAGTCATATACACATATTTATATATACGTAAAATAAACAAAAAAGGTGGCGAGGTTCTGGGGAGTCGAAGCTCAGGAATAGGAAAAGAATAGCTTCTAGTATGGGTTGAACTAGCTGTGACAACCCCGGGGTGGGGAGGAGTGCTTTTATACGCCAGGGGTCAGAGATTACTAAGATAGCGTGAGTTTAAACGAGGGTAGGGTGTCCAAAGTCTGAACTAGGGACCGCGGTATTGTATCATAGTGACGCAGTTCTTCTTCAAGCCATTTCTAACAAAAATCCATGAATCATTATTTGATATATTATGTGACACATCGGTTGTCAACATCGACAGGCTAGACGTGGGAGGTCCTGAAATCTGCAAAAACTAAAAATATGTGTTTTTTGACAGACCACAAGTCCGTATCTAGTTTCAGAATGTTTATACCATAAGTATTCATGTTACATTTAATTTATTCCTTTCGCTTCAGTGCAGTAATTTTCACTTGCAGTGATATTGAGGAGAAATACACCAAGAAACTGGAACGCATGGGAACAACTGGAACTGGCCCAATAAGGCCATTCCCGGAAAAAGTTGATTACAAACCCGATATAAGAATAACTTATGTCGATGAACGTGGCAAGGAGATGGAACCGAAAGATGCATTCCGTGTGCTTAGCTGGAAGTTAGTGTTTGCTGTTTTAATGCAATTTTGCGAAATGATCCTTCAAAATAGTTTTTTTTTTTTTCTCCCAGCATTTATAAATTTATGAACTGTTGCTTAATTTGTGTTTTTATTATTGTTGCCTGGGCTGATTTCAGATTCCATGGAAAAGGACCGGGAAAGAAGCAGATTGAGAAGCGGCAGGCAAAAATGGAAAAGAAAGAACTGATGAAAAAAATGAATTCCATGGATACACCTCTGGGAACGCTGAATAAACAGCTGAAAAAGCAAGAAATGATGCAGACACCGTATATCATCCTGAGCGGTTCTGGAAGAGACACCGGGTAAGTTGTCTTAACTGGATGTTACGTACTCTGTGTAATTCTGCTTTTCCGGGATTGTTTTTTAATATCATTTGTGGGAATGTAATTTTGGTTTCGTTTGTGGAATGGTCATGGTTTGCCCATGCTTCCGAATGTTTTTGTTTAGTTCTGCGCGTCTAAATGAAAGAGTACTGTGGGCAGTTTGCTAAGGCAAACTTGGCTTGCTCATGGCTTCATGAAAAGAAGAACGGGTGGAGGAAGGGCAGTGTCGGGGAGAGAAAGGGGAGAATTTCGGGAAAGGGGCAGGGGAAGGGGAGGAAGGGAAAAGACGGGTAGAATGAGAGATGAAATGAACTGGAAAAGACAGTATTCCGTCCACAAACGATGTGTAGGCCTAAAATGGTGCTTTACTGCAGGCGGAATAACCAAGGCTGTGGATCTAGTTAAGCTTCTGTGCCTGATGATGATCCCATTGAAGAAATTTTGCCTCTAGAATAAATACCAGAATCCCTTTCACTTGCTCTAGATTCTGTTTGTCAGCCGTGATCTTTCTCGCATATATCTGATGTCGATTGCTTTTATATTCGTAGGATATGGCTGAAAAAAAAGTATTTTTCAGAGCGCCGCTGATGAAGGATTGATTGAGTGGATGGCGGTTATATCGCTGATGGACCGTTGTGTCAAAAATATGACTTACTGATAAATTTTCTTTCATCGTATGAATTCCCTGTGATTTCAGACAATTCTGGTATTTCCCTAAAAATGACTTTTCTAGCATTTTTTTACTTCGACGGATAAAATTGTTACTTAAGCCGTCTCTTCAGATGCTTTATTTCAGTCAGTGTTGAGAAATTGACGAAATATAAAAAAATGACTGAGCGTATAAAACAATGAAAATTCCAGACACAGTTGCACCGTCGTCTGCTTGTAAGATTTTGTGATTTGTTTTGGCTGAATACTTTTGCGTTCCCGGATGAACGCTGGC